CTGAAGGGTCTAGGCCCGAAACGTCAGCCTTTCTGCTCCTATGATGCCGCTTGGCCTGCTGTGTTCATCCAGCCCTGCACCTTGTTGTCTCGGATTCTCCAGCATCTGCAGTTCCTACTATCTCTAAACACTCAGAGACAAGTGGATTTTGAAATTGCATTAAGGTGGAAAGGTTAAACATTATCCTTCAGAAAGATCCCGAGCTGATCTGGGAAGGTCTGTTTCACAAGACAGTAATTTCCAGGAGACCACTCTCCTCAAGGTATCATTTCTGCCTAATCTTTATCTTCATTCCTATAAATATTTTGAGTGTGCTTCTGACTGATACTGAATAGAAGTAGAACAAAAATACAAAACATCTAGAATGTAATACTTGACATTAAAAAGATGATAATAAACAAGAAAAAACAATCAGCAGGAAGCCGACATTCCTACAGGGGCACTGCTAATGTTTAAAGAAGCAATAATCACAGATAAAAATCTTACTTAGTCTGAGGAATTGAAATAGAATTAAAGAGCCTTTAGTTAATAATGTAAAACAACTTAAATATTAAACATCGATCAAAACAAAATAAAGACAACAAAAATGCGAAGTCAGTGCTCGGGAAACAGGAGCAACTGTTGCCAAATGCAGACTTTGGAAATTAATTACGAGAATTTTGTTAGATTTCACTTTATATCCAATCAAGTGGATTATTCTGTGGAGATGAAAATATCACCATGACCTCATTACTTGGAGTTAGTCAGTTACTCAGAATCTCAAGTTATTGCTGCTTTAACAGATTATCTATCACTCTTGATATTCTATTAGGATAATGTGTATGCATCCGTGCCGCACACCCAAACAGGGACAGTGTATATTCAGACAGGGACTGTGTATACACAGACTGCAACAGCATGCATACAAACCGGGGCCTACAAGCATGCATTATCATCTCCTTCATAACTATCCTGCCTCATTTCTGTGCAGGTTGCTATTTTCTCAGGTATTGGTGATGGTGTCAATTCCCAACCTGAAAGTCCAAGTAAGTGGCAGCTCCAGCTCGGCACGAGCTCCTTCAGACTGTACCGCAGTCCTCAGCATCTCTGGGCACACTCCATGAGCATCAGCCACCCACATGCCCCTGTCTAGGGAAGTCAGCATCAGACACACACAGACTTCACCTTGGACTCGCTTGTCATACAGGTCAACACTTCAACCTGACAACTTCCACTGCAATGTAGCTGCCAGGCATCCTGTACAAGCATTGGAACAGGGTACATCTCAGGACTCTTAGCTGGCTGTTCTTGCACTCAGTCACTCTGCTTTCTTGCTCCTTATTCATTAACAGGATGTGGGCATCGCTGACTAGGCAGCATTTATTGCCCATCCCTAATTGCCCAGAGGGCAGTTCAGAGTCAACAGATTAGCTGTGGGTCTGGAGTCACATGTAGGCCAGACCAGGTAAGGATGACAGTTTCCTTCCCTAAGGGACATTAGTGACCCAGATGGGTTTTTCCAACAATCGACAATGGATTCATGGTCATCATTAGATTCTTAATTCCAGATATTTATTGAAATCAAATTCCACCATCTGTCATGGCAGGATTTGAACCTGGGTCCCCAGAATGTTGTCTGGATCTCTGGATTAACAATCCAGTGATTATACCACTAGGCCATCGACTCTCCCGCTGTGTGCTGACAGAAGTTTCCTCCATGTTTTACGGCATGAAATTAGATGATGAGTAACATTCTCCTTATAGTGTCTGTGCAATCAGCCCGAGATCAAATACAGAAAGATGCACACTTTAGCTCGCTGGCCAACACCCCAACATCCAGCAACAGTTTAGATGAAAAAGAAAGTTGTCCTGCAGCTGTGCAACATTTTCCATACCTTGTATCATCCTTCCCAAGGTTTCTGTTCTGGTGTGAATTTAGGGAGCCCTTTCTCTCTATAGGCTCACAATGATCTGGAATAAGACCTGCTCAAATTCACTTCTGGAAAGGGTTCTAGCAGAACCTTCTAGGGGGTCTATATTCGATCAAATACAATTCTACATCAGATTACAAGCACAAGAACCTGAAAGGCAGGTTTCTGACCCAACCCCTATGCTTCCTGTTCTCAACATTATTTCCATCCTATCTCTTCCATGAAGAGGTACTGACCTTGAGCTTCAGTTATGGCTGGACCTTTATTAAAGATGGTGTCCTAGTCATAGAACATAAGAACATAAGAACTAGGAGCAAGAGTAGGCCATCCGGCCCCTTGAGCCTGCCCCGCCATTTAATAAGATCATGGCTGATCCTTTTGAGACTCAGCTCCACTTACCCGCCCACTCACCATAATACTTAATTCCTTTACTGTTCAAAATTTATCTAGCCTTGCCTTAAAAACATTCAGCGAGGTAGCTTCAACCACTTCACTGGACAGGGAATTCCACAGATTCACAACCCTTTGGGTGAAGAAGTTCCTCCTGACCTCAGTCCTACATCTGCTTCCCTTTATTTTGAGGCAATGCCCTCTAGTACTAGTTTCACCTGCTAGCGGAAACAACCTCCCTGCCTCCACCTTATCTATTCCCTTCATAATCTTATATGTTTCTATAAGATCTCCCCTTGTCAATAAACAAGGGAGACATTCTTGCCCTGGTCTAAGAGAAATTGGCTAATCCCAAATGTCATTAAGAAGAAAAACCAAAGAGAGACTTGACTCTTTTAACCTTGAAGTGAGGTCCTAAGAAGTGTTTTTATCACAGCTTATGTGACTGTTGATGAAACAGGAAAGGTCTTTCAAATAAATTTAATAATTTGTGAGACAAAGCAACCAATCAGCAAAAAGATACAAATAAGGATGACATATGTAAATGCTCCCCTTACATTCAGAGTGATCAATAATGGAACAAACCCGAGACTGAATAGACTTGGATTCATTTCATAACTATTTAATTGCTACAGTGGGAATGTATGATTTTTCTGGATGTACGAATAAATCTGGTTCAAATGGCTTTTGCTGCAATAATTATCCTTTGCTTCTTTATCTGGATTGATCTCAGATCTTTGTTGCAGAGTATACTTCAACACTGAATTTAATTAGATCCTCAGACACAAAAGAAATTAGAGCAACTGGACAAAGGTAACTTTGTTGTTTCACTTTATTTTAGGGATATTTCACAAACAAAGCTCAAACCTTTAAATCCATGCAAATAATCACAATGAGGTGGAGTCAGTTTCTTTTTCAATAGTCTTTTGTAGTTTTACATGCGAGGACTCAAAATCCAAAGCTTATGCTTGTTGCATTTGTTCTGCTGAGAGTGGTACATTGGAATGATCCAGTAAACCAGATTCTGCCAAAAATAGTAACATACAACATTCAAAACATTAAACTGTCCATGAAACCAAATTACTGGGGCATTAGAGAGTGCAGGAACTGCAGATGCTGGAGAATCTGAGATAACAAGGTGTAGAGCTGGATGAACACAGCAGGCCAAGCAGCATCATAGGAGCAGGAAGGCTGACGTTTTGGGCCTAGACCCTTCATCAGAAAAATAAATCACTTTACTTTCTGCTTCAATTGTATATACAGAGTTTTAACATCCAGGTTTGGTTCCCCAACAGGTTTGTCCTAATTTACCACATCAACTCTTATCCTCTTTACAACCTTAGCAACATTCCTCACAATGATCACTGGACTCACAGTGACCACTGGACGAACCCCAGTTAAATTGTTCACTCTCTTTGATCATTCCACCACCACAAACATGAATTTATCCAACAAAAACAAAAAAAACTGTGGATGCTGTAAATCAGAAACAAAAACAGAAATTGCTGGGAAAGCTCAATAGATTTGGTAGCATCTGTGAAGAGAAATCAGAGTTAACATTTCAGGTCTAGTGACCATTTCTCAGCACTGACGGTAGCTAGGAAAGTGTGGGTTTATATGCAGAAGATAGAGTGGAGGGAGGGTGTAAGGACTAAATGATAGGTGGGGATAGATTCCAAAGACAGAGAAAAACAGTTGGACAGACAAAAGAATGGATGACAATCTGGGTAAGAGGATGAATAGCTGTTAATGGAGATTGTTAGTAGCTAACAACGTGTTGTGCGTAATAGCCGACCATGTGATATCAGGGCCTGGTGTGTGGGGTTAGGGTCTAGGACATAGCAGAGTTCAAGCCCTAAAGTTATTGAAATCGATATTAAGTCCAGAAGGCCGCAGGGTCCCCAAGTGGAAAATGAGGTGTTGTTCTTCCAGTTTATGCTGAGCTTCACTGGAGCATTGCAGCAAGCCTGAGACAAAAATATTGGCCACGGAACAGGGTGGTGTGTTGAAATGGTAGGCGACTGGAAGCTCAAGGTCATTTTTGTAGGGAGAATGTAGGTGTTCTGTGAAGTGGTTTGGATTTATCCAAACCCTGAACTCCAGTTGCAGCCCCTCCCAACATTCAGGACCCTGAGCCCATTATCTCCTTTGCTGATCCCAGTCTGTCACATTTTATTGCCCACATAGTTTCTGTTCCTTCCACATGCCACTGGCTTTAGTGCCGCATTTCCTGACAATTCCAGCAGCTGCTGTTAGAAAATCCACTTCCCTGTTTCCCAATAAAAAGGCCACAGCAATGGGGTGCGAGATCTAACAGGAAAAGCAGTACATCTAGATTCTGTTCTTAGATAAGTATCACAGGGTGGGAGTTGACAGTGGGAATTCATCCAGGTCCAGGAACATATGACACACACCAATGCAATCTCTTGGTTGGACTGGAATAGTGTGAACTGGAACACTAACTCCTGAACTACCATTACCTTCATACTGAAATACTACTGGCCTCTGGCTCACTTGCCTGAACTGTTGCTTTTGTTCGCTCCAGTGACCATTGTTCCATTAATTTTAAAATAGTTCTGGATAGGAACAAAACTGACCTATAGGTTTAAGTTTTAAATTGGGGCAAGGTGAATTTTGCTGGAATTAGACAGGAGCTTGCAGGAGTTGATTGGAGTAGTTTGTTTGCAGGAAAAGGGACCTCTGGCAAGTGGGAGGCCTTTAAAAGTGTGATAGCTAGAGTTCAATGTCTATATGTTCCTGTGAGGGTGAAGGGCAAGGTTGGCAGAAGTAGGGAACCCTGGATGACAAGAGATATTGAGGCTTTGACCAGAAAAAAGAAGGAGACATGGCTCAGGTACAGGCAGCTGGGATCCAGGGAATCCCTGGACATATATAGCAGATACAGAACTTCAGTGAAGGAAGGAATCAGGAGGGAGAAAAGGGGGCACAAGATAGCTTTAGCTGAGAAGATTAGGGTGAATCCAAAGAGATTCTTTAAGTATATTAAAGAAAAAAGAATAACTAGAGAGAGAATAGGATCCCTCAATGGCCAAAGTGGACATGTATGTGTGGAACCGCAGGAATGGGCGAGATCCTCAATGAATATTTCTCCTCTGTGTTTACTGTGGAGAAAGACTTGAAGACTTGAAAACTTGGAAACTTGGGGAAGTTAGTGGTGATGTCTTGGGAACAGTCCATATCACAGTAGAGGAGGTGTTAGATGTATTAGAATGTATGAAGGTGGATAAATCTCCCGGTCCTGATCAGATGATCAGAGAACTCTATAAGAGGCTACAGAAGAAATTGTGTGGGCCCTGGCTGATGTATTTGCATCATCGTTAGCCACGGGTGAGGTCCCAGAAGACCGGATGGTAGTGACTGTTGTGCCCTTGTTCAAGAAGAGCTGCAAGGAAACACCTGGGAATTATAGAGCAGCAAGCTTAACATCTGTGGTAGGTAAGTTACTTGAGAAGATTCTGAGGGATAAGATATACATACATTTGGAAAGACAAGGTTTGATTAGGAGTAGTCAACATAGCTTTGGGCGTAGCCAATCATGCCTCACAAATTTGTTAGAGTTCTTTGATGAAGTGGCCAGGAAGGTTAATGAAGGCAGGGTGGTAGACATAGTCTATATGGATTTCAGTGAGGCCTTTAATGAGGTTCCACATGGTAGGCTGCTCTGGAAGGTTAGATTGCATGGAATCCAGGGAGAGCTGGCAAATTGTATACACAATTGGCTTGATGGTAGGAAGCAGAGGGTAATAGTGGAAGGACGCTTGTCAGACTGGAGGCCTGTGACTAGTGGTGTGTCTCAGGGCTCGGTACTGGGCCCATCGCTGTTTCTTATCAATGATTTGAATGAGGATGTACAAGGCATGATTGGTAAGTCTGCAGATGACACTAAAATAGGCGGTATCATGGACAGGAAGGAAGGTTATCAGAAATTGCAGCAGGATCTGCATCAGCTGGGGAAGTGGGCCGAGAAACGGCAAATGGAGTTTAATACAGATAAGTAGGAGGTGTTGCATTTTGGAAAGTTAAATCAAGGTAGGAGTTTAATGGTGAATGGTAGGGCCTGAAGGAGTGTAGTAGAACAGAGGGACCTTGGAGTTCAGGTGCACAGTTCTCTGAAAGTGGAGTCACAGGTAGACAGGGCAGTAAAGAAGGCTTTTGGCACACTGGCCTTCATCAGTCAGGGCATTGAGTATAGAAGTTGGGAAGTTATGTTGCAGTTGTACAAAAAGTTGGGGAGGCCATACTTAGAGTATTGTGTTCAGTTTTGGTCACCTTACTAAAGGAACGATGTTATAAAACTGGAAAGTGTGCAGAAGAAATTTACAAGGATATTGCCAGGATTTAAGGGAATGTGTTAAAGGAAGCGATTGGACAAGCTAGGACTCTTTTCTTTAGAGCTAGGAGACTGAGGAAGGATATTATAGAAGTGTATAAGATCATGAGAGGCATGGATACACTGAATGTATTCAGCTTTTTTCCCAGAGTTGGGGAATCGAGGACTGGATGGCATCAGTTTAAGTAAGAGTGGAAAGAATACATGGGAACCTGAGGGGCAATGTTTTTACACAGAGAGTGATATGCATACAGATTGAGTTGCCAGTGGAAGTGGTTAAGGCAGGTACATTAACAACATTTAAAAGGCAACTGATGAATAAGTGGATAGGAAAGGTTTAGAAGGATATGGCTAAGTGCAGGGAAATGGGGTTAGCGTGAATGGACATTTTGGTTGGTGTGGACCAGTTTGGGTCGAAGGGACTGTCTCCGTGTTATAGGACTCTATGGCATTTTCTAAAGAAGGGTCCCAACACAAAATGTCAACTTTCCTGCTCCTCTGATGCTGCCTGGCCTGCTGTGTTCCTCCAGCTCCACACGGTGTTATCTCTGACTCCAGCATCAGCTGTTCTTACTATCTCTGAGGACTCTATTACTCTTTGTTTTAAGAATTCTTTAAAATCTTACCTCTCTGACGTACGTAACTCAGGAATTCTATCAGTGTCTGAAGAATATTTTCATCAACTGAATGTAGTGGATTACCTTAACGTGAAAGAATAATTATGTCAGGCATTACAACATGACAGGATCTCATTGATTCTTTGTTCCGATTAGTAGAGCAACTCCCAAACTCACTGCAGAATCAGCACCAATAACTGAGAGCTCAGTGTGATTCACATCACCCAGCCTCCTCCGCCACACTGTAACTGCCTCTGAAATACACTCCCCCTCACTGCAACTGCCCCTGAAATACCCTAACCCTCACTGTAACTGCCTCTGAAATACCCTCCCCCTCACTGTAACTGCCTCTGAAATACCCTCCCCCTCACTGTAACTCCCTCTGAAATACCCTCCCCCTCATTGTAACTGCCTCTGAAATACCCTCCCCCTCACTGTAACTCCCTCTGAAATACACTACCCCTCACTGTAACTCCCTCTGAAATACACTACTCCTCACCGTAACTGCCTCTGAAATACCCTCCCCCTCACTGTAACTCCCTCTGAAATACCCTACCCCTCACTGTAACT